CACAGGAAACAACTTTGAAGACCTTTACATTTAATGGTGAAATGTGCTTGATTGATCGGGAATCCTGATCAGATAGTTTCCGACAGCCTCTACAAGGCGGTCTGTCCGAATATGCTTTACAGAATCTTCTTCAGAATTTTGGCTTCAAAGGGTGATGTCAGTCGTGATTTTGGAAGTGCAGTCTCTTTAGCCAAAAATTAAAATGTAGGTATTTGGGCTGGGGGTTATCAGCAGGTGGGGAGCAGGTCTTTTGTAAAGAGAACGGCTCTTAATGGGCCATTTAGGATCAAACCACCCTTTGCATTGCTAGAGTCGAACAGCATCTTGTCCCCAAGAAAACTCATCTCTCTCCCAGCTGTTGTGTAGATTGCAGCTAAGGTGGGAGGGAGCAAGGAAGCCTAAAGGGCTTGGTGGATGATGTCATGGTCTCTGCTGATCACAAAGTCTTGGGGAAACTGGTCCCATTACACCACTGTACAAGACCGTCTGGGTACTGGGGATGTTCAGGGGCAGGGCTTTACATGTGTGTCCACATCTCTACCACAAATTTTATCCTGTGTGTGAGCAGCTGACTGCCTTCATTGGATTGTATGTTATTATGGCAACCCTAGTAGGGTTTTTGATGATTGTGAGTTTGGGGGGGAGTATTTCTATGACATGTCATATTTTTTCTGCAGCCTATGTTTGAACCTATGTTTGAATAAATCCCAGTCCAGAATAGTGGGTTTGGACATGTTTATGAGTAATCTGGTGAGAAAGGCCAGATTATTTATATAAACATGTTTAATCTTACTTGTGGATTCAAGTATGGAAGCCTATGTTTGAACCTATGTTTGAATAAATCCCAGTCCAGAATAGTGGGTTTGGACATGTTTATGAGTAATCTGGTGAGAAAGGCCAGATTATTTATATAAACATGTTTAATCTTACTTGTGGATTCAAGTATGGATCTATGGTATTACTTGCTCATATTATGCCTCATAGGGTCTCATATACCTTGTATATGAACGTCACCTAAAATTGAGGAAGAATTAAGAAAAGGCTGTGTGGTTCAGGATTACACAAATGGTACTTTTATTGATCACACAGAAAATCGCGCCAACTGCAAGCTTTTGTCGGTAGAGTCTTCCTTCCCCTGCACCTTCATGGGTAGTGAAGAAAAATTGTAGGGGAGAGTCCCATAAATTCATGGCAGATGTCCATACTGAGAGCCTGTTTGTATGAGGTGAGTTGTGGGTGGGGGTGTGTGGATTCAAGCATCCACCCCAGACTCCAAACAAAGGATTTGCTAATGACTCTGTGACTACCCACCCACACCCTCTCGTTGCTTGCTCCTGGAACATAAAGTTTCTTCTGAGCTGGGGGGCAGAAAAAAACAAAGCAAAGTGTTCTGCTTATACAGTGGTGCCTCGCTTGACGAGGATAATTCGTTCCATTGAAATCGCTGTTAAGCGAAATCCTCGTCAAGCGAAACGAAAAAGCCCATTGAAATGCATTGAAAAACGGTTCAGTGCATTCCAATCGGCTAAGTACCTCAGCGTCCAGCTAAGATCCTCCATAGCGGTGGCCATTTCTGGTGCCTGTAAAGCGAGGAATCCGTCCTAAATCACAGCGGGGAGCCATTTTGCACAGCGGGCGGCCATTTTAGAGCCACCGATCAGCTGTTTTAAAATCATCGTCTAGTGAAAAATTGGTTCCCGAAGCAGGGAACTGATCATCGTTAAGCAATTTTTCCCTATTAGAACATCGTTTTACGATCGCAAAAGTGATTGCAAAACCTTCATCGTCAAGCAGTTTCATCGTTTAATGAGGTAAGCGTTAAGCAGGGTACCACTGTATACCGTCCCATAATGCTTAAAGCACTCTCTGGATGGTTTAAAATTTAATAATGCAGGCTACGTATTGCTTCCCCCACCCCTGTCAGCTGGGTACTGATTTTACTGACCTTGGAAGGATGGAAGGCTGAGTTCAACCTTGAGCGGGCTCCCTGAATCGTTCAGGATTGAACAGAGATTATGAGCAGAGTCTGGGCTGCAGGACTGCAGTTTAACCCCTGTGCTGCAAGGCTCATCTCAGTCCAGTGCCGAGATTGGTGTAGAGCATCTGTTTCATTCATTTTTTCTCTTATTCTTCTTCTCAGCCTCCCTTTCACTGTCTTTTCTGGCATCCTTTTCCTCATCCTTTTACCACCTTCGCTGCCATCTCTTTTAATTTATCTTGTTGGTTATTCTGTTTGTTCGAATGTAGGTATTCTTTTATTTTCTTTGTCGTGTTTTGATATTGTGCTGTTTTTTTATCTTGTTGTTAGCCATGCAGAGTGGCCTGGTTGCCAGATGGTGTGGAGTAAGGTTAAAGGTAAAGGTTTCCCCTGACATTTAGTCCAGTCGTGTCTGACTCTAGGGGGCAGTGCTCATCCCCGTTTCCAAGCCATAGAGCCAGCGTTTGTCTGAGGACAGTTTCCGTGGTCATGTGGTCAGCACGACTAGATACAGAACGCCATGACCTTCCCACCGTGGTATATCTACTCACATTTTTACAGGTTTTCGAACTGCTCGGTTGGCAGGAGCTGGGAGAAGCGACGGGAGATCACTCCGTCGCGTGGATTCGATCTTACGACTGCTGGTCTTCTGACCTTGCAGCACAGAGGCTTCCGCAGTTTAACCCACAGCGCCACCGCGTCCCATATTGCTGGGGCATCAAGCCAATAAATAAATAAACAAAATAATTTTTTTGCCCATCCAGGTAGAAAACTCGGCACCCCGGGAGGGATCGCAGTGTCGCCCGTTCTAGAAGGGAGCACGTCCGAGGATGAAGATGGGAAAGGATGAGGCCAGGTTCCCTCCGCCAAGAGAGGCTTTGGAGAGACCCAGTAAAGACCTTCCTGTCCTCCAGGACGCCGTGGGCCTCAAACCCAGAAGGGATCTGGCGGGAGAGAGGCAGCCCTCCAAAGCTGCGCCTGCCGGGAGATCCCTCAGACGGGCACTTCTCCAGCAGGTGAAGGAGGAACCGCCGGAAGGTTCGGCCCAGCGCTGGGAAAGCCAGTGGCAGGAGTTCTTAAGGACCGCCGAAGCTCCTCCTCACTCTGGCTGGGGACCCCCACCGTTGTGGGCACCGCCGACCCCATGGGACAACGCCACGGCTTTCCTCGCCGCCTTCGAACAAGTGGCTGAGGCTTGCCGGTGGCCGAAGGGCGAGTGGGCGAGCCGGCTGCTGCCGGCCCTCAGCGGCGAAGCCAAACTGGCCTTCCACAGCCTGGAGGCGGGCGACCGAGAAGACTACGGGAAGGCGAAGGCCATCATCCTGCGGTGGGAGGCCCTCAGCCGGGAGAGGTGGCGCCAGCACTTCCGGCGGTTCCGCTACCAGGAAGCCCAGGGGCCGAGAGGCGTTTACAGCCGGCTCCAGGAACTTTGCCGCCAGTGGCTGAAGGTCGAGAGGCACTCCAAGGAGCAGATCCTGGAGCTGCTGATCCTGGAGCAGTTCCTGATCATCCTTCCCCCGGAGATCCAGAGGTGGGTCCGGGAGCATGGCCCGGAGACATCCTCCCAGGCCGTAGCCCTGGCAGAGGAGTTCCTGCTGAGGCAGCCAGAGGCAGAACGAGGGGACAGCCAGGTGAGACGTTGGCGTGTATTTATTTGACAGACACCCTTGCCTTTTATTAAAATTAGGGCTCCCATTGCTCACGGCAAGATTGAAACTGGATCCAGACAGTAAAAACGCTAACAGGTAGGATGTTAAAACATACTGGCTGAAATACAATCATTTAGCATGATAATACTCATCATCATCTTAGAACGACAGAGCTGGAAGGGTCCCTATGGATCATCAAGTCCAGCTCCTGTCAAGGAGGCCCAGCGGGGAATCGAACTCCCAACCTTTGGCTCCAAGTAAGTTGCACTAGAGTAGCCCTATTTGAATCAGTGGGGATTTGGTGAGTTGATTCCTCCATAAATGCTATTGGACTACTCTAGTTGTGATTTATTAGGCTAAAAAAAGTCACAAGTAGAGTAGCCCCATTTGAAACAGTGGAACGTATGGAGGAGATGAGTCAGCCAGTGGGATTTTATTTTGATTCCATGTTGACCACGTCTGCTTTGTAGATACTTCTGCTTAGGGAAGCTATAGTAATACTGTATGTAGGGATGGATTTTTAGATTTTTCTGGACTCCAGCTACCATAATTCTCCATTCTGGAAGCTCCACCTCTCTTGCAGACACCTTTCAAACACCTGGGGGAAAGGCCTACATCAGAAGGCTTGGAGACGTGGTACACCCAAGCTTCCTGCTCAGAAAGATATCTCCCAGGTTGCACCAGGACAGGAAAAGGCCGAGCTTGGACAGATCTAGGCCTAGCTAAGGTTCAGGGCCGTCCAGTGTAGGCTTTTCTCCCAGGTGAGCCACAGTATCTATCTATCTATCTACAGTGGTGCCCCGCATAACGAGCGATTTGTTTAACGAATCCGCATAGCGACGCGTTTTTTGCAATCGCAAAAGCGATCACATTGCGATGTTTCTAATGGTAAAACATCGCTTTGCGAAGATCGGTAAGCATTTCGCATACAGATTTTCGCATAGCGATGTTTTTTTAACAATATTTATTTATTTATTGAATTTATATCCCGCCTATCTAGTCAGTTACGACCACTCTAGGCTGATCGGTGGTTCCAAAATGGCCACCCACTGTGTTTTCGCGCCCTTTCCTCACTTACCGGGCAGCGAAAATGGCAGCTGCATGGAGTATTTCCGCATAACGGTGAGTTTTTTGCCCATAGGAACACATTAAACGTGTTTCAATGCGTTCCTATGGGCTTTTTTGCCCCGCTTAGCAACAAATCCACATAGCGACGATTTTTTTAGAATGAATTATCGTCGCTATGTGGGGCACCACTGTATGTGTCTGTCTGTCTGTCTGTCTGTCTGTCTGTCTGTCTGTCTGTCTGTCTGTCTGTCTGTCTGTCTGTCTGTCTGTCTGTCTGTCTGTCTGTCTGTCTGTCTGTCTGTCTGTCTGTCTGTCTGTCTGTCTGTCTGTCTGTCTGTCTGTCTGTCTGTCTGTCTGTCTGTCTGTCTGTCTGTCTGTCTGTCTGTCTGTCTGTCTGTCTGTCTGTCTGTCTGTCTGTCTGTCTGTCTGTCTGTCTGTCTGTCTGTCTGTCTGTCTGTCTGTCTGTCTGTCTGTCTGTCTGTCTGTCTGTCTGTCTGTCTGTCTGTCTGTCTGTCTGTCTGTCTGTCTGTCTGTCTGTCTGTCTGTCTGTCTGTCTGTCTGTCTGTCTGTCTGTCTGTCTGTCTGTCTGTCACCTGTGAAGGTGGTGGGACCGAGAGAACGACTTCTCCTGATGATTTTAGCACTTCAACAGGCTCATAAAGGGAAATGAGATCCTTGCTCCCAAGCCAGTTAGGGATTTATAGGTTAGAACCAGCACATTGAATTGTGCCCAGAAACAGCAGCCCCTGGAACTGCTGTAACGGGGTGGGGTTGGGAGTGGGGGGGGGATGTTACATGATCCTTGTGACCAGCCCCAGTTAACAGCCTGGCTGCTGTGTTTTGGACCCACTGAAGAAAAGATTTCTTTACCCAACGTGTGGGTAGTCTGTGGAACCCCTTGCCACAGGATGTGGGTGATGGCATCTGGCCTAGATGCCTTAAAAAAGGGGATTGGACAGATTCCTGGAGGAAAAGTCCATTGCAGGTGACAAGCCATGATGATGGAGATGTTCAATCTCCAGGCTTTTAAAAGGAAGGTACTGTACTTCCAAACGCCAGATGCAGGGAGGGTGATCAGGAGACAGTGATAACTCGTTGTCTCATGTGCTCCCAGAGGCATCTGGTGGGGGCCCCTGTGAGATCCAGGAAGCTGGAAAGATGGTCCCTCGGCCTGATCCAGCAGGGCTATTGTTAGTTTCCTTATGTTCCAAACACTTTCCAAAGCCCCGCGTAGAGTGTTTGTAAGGTGTCCATCCGTAAGGGAGGTACAGCACCCAGATAGGTGAATTTTTCTATTCATAGATCAGAAAACCCCAAAATCCCATCCTTTTTGGTATACATGCTTGTGCCAGTGGCAGGGATCAGTAAGTAAGGTAATACCCTCTCAGCGTAAAAATTTGGCTCCCCCTAAATCTTGGGTCCTGGGGGTCAAAGCCCCGATCACTCCACCCTAGATATGGCTCTGTGGGCGGCGGATCTCGGCCTTGTAACCCAACAAGGTCCGCAGGGGCACGGATGACCCAGCCCTCATTTTGGGTGCAACACACATACTTTTTCACAGGACCAAAGACCCGACCCTGTTTTGTGGCAACAGGGCGGCTACGTGAAGAGCGACTCGTATCTTTTTGTCCTAAAAAGGAAGTTCCGCTCTGCTTTCTTAGGCAGGGTTTGAAGAGGACGTTTCCTGCGAGGGTGACCGGGATCTGTCTGAGATTGAACTCTGCATCAAAACCAAGCAGGAGGAAGATGATGAGGATGGCGAGGATGATGGTGACCCTGGAAAGGATAGCCTGCTGGGTGAGTTTGATGGACAGATTCCATTTGGGTAGACTGAAAGCCAGCCAGCCATTACAGTGTCCAATAATTGCTGGAAAACACCCATATTATTAATTAAAGTAGAACCCCTGTAGGTGTGGGGATCATCTCCAAGCCTTTCCGCGGATGCTGAAAAACGTGGACAATAGTGAACATTATTTTAATAGCAAACGCTTTAGGTAGTATAGTCTCTGGCTCCCTCTAGTGGCCAGTTCTGGTAACTTCACCTTTAGAAATAGATACAGTCTTGCCCCGCTTAACGATTACCCTGTATAACAACGAATCCGCTTCACGACGATGTTTTTGCGATCACAATTGCGATAGCAAAACAATGTTTTAAATGGTTTTTTTTTCGCTTTGCGAAGATCGGTTCCCTGCTTCGGGAACCGATTCTTCACATTACGACGATCAAAACAGCTGATCGTCGGGTTTTCAAAATGGCCGCCGGGTGCTCAAAATGGCTCCCCGCTGTGTTTTTGGACAGATTCCTCGCTCTACAGGCACCGAAAATGGCCGCCCCTATGGAGGATCTTCGCTGGATGATGAGTTTTTCAGCCCATTGGAATGCACTGAACGGTTTTCAATGTGTTTCAGTGGGCTTTTTTATTTCGCTTTATGACGTTTTCGCTCTACAGTGATTTCTCTGGAACAAATTAACATCGTTAAGCGAGGCACCACTGTATTTGTAGGATTTTTCCTTTTAATATTTTAAATATTTTTAAAGTGCCAATACATGAATCAGATACAGGGGTCCTATTGTCTTTCTGGATTTTGACAGTTCCTACCTTTGCCTTTCAAGCCACTGATTCTAAAGCAGATGTCAAGCAATATGTGACTGTGCGGGAAAATCACTGGTAGCTAATTGATCGGCTTGGCCATAGATGATCAGAGGAGTTGGTCTGAATTCAAAACCCCAGTTGGCTGTGGAAACCCACTGTAGGGTGAAAGTCTTGCATGCCCCGAAAAGACATGTTAGGATTTGGCAGGAAAGTAGAAGCAGCAAATGTGGGAGCAAACCCAACTTTCCTGGTGCAGAGAAGGCAGGAATTAAGACTGAAATGCAGGGTTTCCCCTTCCTCTCTAGCGGGAGGGAGTTGCGCCAAGGGAAAACTTGTTGTAAGGATGTGCTTCTCCCCTTGTAGGAAAATCAACCGCCCATCTTGCAGAAGTTGCTTCTGGCATGAATCTCTTATCTTCTCTGAGATAGGATGTGCTTCTCCCCTTGTAGGAAAATCTACTGCCCATCTTGCAGAAGTTGCTTCTGACATGAATCTCTTATCTTCGTTACGAGAGAAATCGTGTTCTTCTGTCTCTACCATCTTTCCCCTTTTCTCTTCTCCAGAGACTTAGTCGTGTGTGGTTTCCATATTGTGTCTCAAGCAGGCAAAGAATGGACAGCCGTAGATGATGGGGAAAAATATGTACCGGGAGAATCTGAACCAGTGGGACTGTGTGAGACATCAACGTGGAAAATGGTAGAGAACTTTTCTCTACATCATGAGCGAGAAAATTCCTCAGCAAGTCCACAGAGAGCAGCTTTCTGGCAGGAGGTCTCCTCAGATCGCTCCGTTTCTTGTGGGGAAGATCTCAAGGACCCCGCCATCCAGATAGAAATTGGCTCTGGTAAGATATTAAATCCCTGTTGATCTTGTAGAAAAGAGGACTCTAGCAAATGGTGTAGGCACCCTTCAGTCTGGTGACTATGGTCAGCGTGCTCTGTATGGAGGTCTTGGAACAGCGTCAAGTGTGGCTGAGAAGGCCAATTCGAGAGTGACAATCTCTCCACATTGAAGACAAATACAATCTGTCCCCTGTCCAGCTCCCTGATTTTGCTGCTTTCAGGACTGCCTCTTTGCCTCGGCCTGCTGGACAAGGGTCTCTTCAAATTGGGAGAGGCCACGACGCACCGCCTGCCTCCAGGCTGAACACTCAGGTGTCAAGGTTTCCCATCCGTTGAGGTCCATTCCTAAGACCTTCAGATCCTGCTTGCAGATCTCCTTGTATCAAAGCTGTGGTCTCCCTCTGGGGCGCTTTCCCTGCACTAATTCTCCATACAGGAGATCTTTCGGAATCTGACCATCTAGCATATGTAGGCATACGTAACCAACAGGAAGTCTCCAGAATTACTCGATAGCTCAGTGGTTTAGGCATTTGCCTGTGGAGCCAATGGTTGGGAGTTCGATTCCCCCTCTGTGCCTCCTTAACAGGGGCTGGACTCAATGATCCGTAGAGTCCCTTCCACTCTGTAGTTCTAAGATGATGATGATTATCCGTGCCTGGTTTGTGGGAAGTGTTTTCCTTGCAACTCACGTGGTCCATCATCCCCACAGTATAGATGCTCTATGAGACAAAATTATTGTTGTGATTGTCGTTAAGCACTTTAATAAATAGATTATGCAGATATTACATGCATGGATTATTAGTTGAGTGAGTGGAGAACTAATGCTGGAACAGCAGCTGGACAGGGTGCAAGTAGAAGAAATTAAACAGGATGTTGTAAAAATTAAAATATCTGGGCAAGTCTCCTCTCTGGGTTACCAGTTCTTGCTTCCCCAGGCTCTATGCTTGCATCATCTCTCCTACAGTCATTAGTTGAGGTTTCATAGCACTCTTTGGGGTGGAGGACTGAACACCACCAATAGCTCCAACATTGTCTTATGTCTCCCAGTTCTGTATAATCTGTTTATCTTGTGGGAGCCATAAGACAGAAGGAGAAACGGCTGTGTCCTTTGGCTAGCAGCTGTTTTTGGTCCATAAAGATTACCTCCTCCGGTCCTGTGGCTTCCATGGCTTCTGCATGGTGAAAGGGTTAAATGAGACCCATGGGAGCCACAGAGCAGAAGTAGGAAGTGTTTAATTTCTGAAAAATTGCTGAAAAATCTGCCGGTGACTATCTTTATTTATTCAGGTGTAGTTGTGCAAACAGTTTTTCAGCCTGTAAAAATATCTTACTCCGTCAGGGATTCTGTCTTTCCCCCATGAAGGGGCGTAACGTGACGTGGTTTCCGAGACCAAAATAGAGCAGATTCAGCACCACGGAGAGTACTCCAGCTAGCATGGGGTGAGACTGAGCTCCATGGTGGGCAAGCTTACGTTATGTTGTGCAGGCAATAAGTGACGAGGTTTTGTAACCAAGCCAGGTGAAATATCCCATTAATTTTTTTTCTACTCTATATTCTCAAGTTTGCAGTTGGAAATTTTACACCAGCTACCTTAAAAGTGCTGAGATCTGAACTTTAAAGGCAGATAAATAGAGCTGTGAGCTTTGCTTTGCATGCCTGAAAGTTATTGCAGAGGGGACTAACCCCTCAGTAGGCATAAACTTGGAGCTGTGCTTTTCATGCCAGGAACATGTTACAGAGGCTTACTCTTGAAAGAGCATGCAAAGAATTGAGCCATCATTTCTTTTCTCCGGTGGGAGAATGTCCACACTAGCCAGAATTACAACTGGCCTCAGTGTCATGAGTCACCAATGGGATAAAGCAGCGGGTGAGGGGGAACTTGGAATCCTGTGTCCAGGAATATTTATGTGGCATTTGTCTATTTTTTTTATTCCACAATTCCCAGAATTCGTCAAGAATTTCCCAGGCAGAATTCTAGGAATTCCAGCCCACAGACTGACACCCACAGAAACCTACATTTCAGTAACCTGGAACAGGGCCTAGTTTGGAGGCCTGTATGGTTGTCCTAGTCCATTCTTCCTTTTGTAAATCTAATTAATTAATTAAGAAAGAAAGCTGCTGCTCTGCTTCCCAGGAGTGGTAGTTCTTTAGGAGGTGCCCTGTATAGAGCCTAAAGGTCAGCAAGACTAGCACTCCCAGGAAAGCGGTCCCACAGCTTCCTTTCTTGTACATTCGTAACAGGAAGCAAGGCTGGAGCTTGGCCTTGCAGCCGTGGAACTAGGCCTTGGTCCAGATGAGCGAAATGGAGGTGTGGGTCTGTTAAGCTGAAACTCCCAGAAATTGTGTTTGATGAATTCTTCAGAAACCAGGCCCTTCAAGGAGAGTGTGAAGGAGTTCAGTCTGTTTAAAAAAAAAAAACCAAAAGGCTGAGAAATGGTTATGGCAGCTATCTTCGAACATTTGAAGGATTCTCATGTGAAAGATGGAGGAAACTTGTTTTGCGCGCCTCGAGAAGATAAGATCTGACGTCAAATCACAAGAGAGGAGATTAGAACTAAACACATCCAGCCATCCTTCTTGACGCTGTTTGACACTAGGGGGGAAGACCTTGAGAGGTGGCGGCCATACATACATAGGCATCCTTCAGTCTCGAGAGACTATGGTAACGTGCTCTGTATAGAGGACTTTGACACCGTATGCGAAGCTGGAATGTCCTCTCCGTAGCACGAAGCCTGGGTAGAAAATTATGGAGGATAGGCTGTTGGAGATTAGAACTAAACACATCCAGCCATCTTTCTTGACGCTGTTTGACACTAGGGGGGGAAGACCTTGAGAGGTGGTGGCCATACATACATAGGTATCCTTCAGTCTCGAGAGACTATGGTAACGTGCTCTGTATGGAGGACTTTGACACTGTATGCGAAACTGGAATGTCCTCTCCGTAGCACGAAACCTGAACGTGCTCTTATGGAGGATAGGCTGTTACCCAAGCAGCAGATCCCCCCTCTCCACATCACTGAAATAGTCCAACGGAAAGGCAAGAGCCAATACAACTGGTTCCAGCGACGTCGCAGGAGTTGCCAGAACGACACAAACTGCCTCCGGGACTCCAGCTCCGGATTTTGCCTCGATGTTAACTCCTGAAGCCTTTTCCATCAGTGGATATAGCCACAAGGCAGTGGAGGTTTTAAGTCAGAGTTTTCCTTCTCCTAGATGGGCTGCCTTCCCAAATTGACGAGCCCCACCTACCCGGGATTTATTTTGCATATGTTAAATAAGCTGGGGAACAATATACAGCCTTATCGTAATCCTTTCCCAATTTTGAACCAATCAGTTGTTCCGTATCCAGTTCTAACTGTTGCTTCCTGTCCCATGTATAGATTTCTCAGGAGATAGACAAGGGGGGCAGCGACTCCCATTTCTTTAAGGACTTGCCATAGTTTGCTGTGGTCCACACAGTCAAAGGCTTTTGCGTAGTCAATGAAGCAGAAGTAGATGTTTTTCTGGAACTCTCTGGCTTTCTCCCTAATCCAGCTCATGTGTCACATTCCTGGAGGTTTCAAAAGCATTTATTTTAATCCCGCCTAGGGTCTTATTGGGTTGACCAGATAGCTCAGTGGTTTAAATATCAGGTGGTGAAGACAGAGGTTGGGAATTCAATTCCCCACTGTACCTCCAAGGAGAATAACCAGTCTGGGTGGCCATGGGCAAGCTGCACAATCCCAAGTCGCCCCCTAGAAGAAGGGAGTAGTAAACAACTTCTGAATAATCTCTACCTGAGAAACCTTGAAAAAGATCACCATACAGTAAGTCGGAATGGACTTGAGGGTACATGAATGTTATTATTACTATCATGGAGATTGTCTTGTTTTTGATTTTCAGTCTTTATTCTCACAGGCGATGTGTGGGAGTGCGAAGAGGAGACGCCTCAGATTTCTTTTGAGAGAATGAGATGCGAGGAGTTGAGAGAGGGCCTTTGGGATCAGCGTGGACCAGAGATGAAAGAAGGAAACTATACCCCGAAGAAGATGAACCTACCCACTCTTTACCAGGATAGGGACTTCTGCGATATCCTGAGCCAGCAGAAACCTCTAGAAAGCCAAAAGAACAAGTGTTTCGCTGCTCACTGGGCAATCCGCTCAGACGGGAAAACGGACCAAAGCTTAGCCTTTACGAACAGTTTTGTCGAGGGCCGCAGCCTTCCTCAGTTTCAAATGCTTCACGAAGAAGAGAAACCGTATAAGTGTTTTGTGTGCGGAAAACGTTTCACGCGAAGCACCAACCTTACCGCCCACCAAAGAATCCACACAGGGGAGAAACCGTACGGTTGCCCGGACTGTCCCAAGATGTTCACGAGCCAGTCGGATCTCATTAAACATAAGAGGATTCACAGAGGAGAAAAACCCTATAAATGCTTTGTATGCGGAAAGAGCTTTAGTCAAGGTGGACACTTGACTGCACATCAGAGAATTCACACTGGGGAGAAGCCCTATAAGTGCTTGGAATGTGGGAAAAGCTTCAGTAAGAACACCAACCTTACTCTGCATCAGAGGATTCATACCGGGGAGAAACCTTACAAATGTTTGGAGTGCGGGAAGAGTTTCACTTGGAATTCGAACCTCACTTCTCATCAAAGGATCCACACAGGGGAGAAGCCGTTTCAATGCTCAGATTGTAACAAGTGTTTCTGTAACCACTCGACCCTTATTAAGCACGTGAGGATCCACACAGGGGAGAAACCCTATAAATGCTTTGCGTGCGGAAAGAGCTTCAGCCAGAGCTCCAGTCTGACGGCGCATAAGAGGATTCACACCGGGGAAAAACCGTATCAATGTTCCGAGTGTGGGAAAAGCTACAGTAAAAACACAAACCTTATTTCACACCAGAGAATTCACGTGATGGGAAAACTGCATAAGTAAATACAGTGGCGCCCTGCATGACGACGATCCCGCAGAATGATGAAATCGCATGACGATGACTTTTTTGCAATCGCTATAGCGATCGCAAAACAATGTTTCCTATGGGGGTTTTTCGTTTGACAACGATTAGGTCCTTGCTTCACAAACCGTTTGTTCGCAAAATGATGATTTTTCCAGCTCCGCAAAATGGCTGCCCTGTCTTTTCCAGACCCATGCTTCGCAGGGCAGCCATTTTAACAGCTGATCAGCGCTCGGAAAATGGCTTCCCCTACGGGCAATGTTTGCTGGACAACGAGGTAATTTCCCCATTGGAACGCATTAAATGGGTTTCAGTGTATTCCAATGGGGAATTGTTTTTCGCATGACGACGATTTCGCTTAACAGCAATTTTCCTAGAACGGATTATCGTCATCATATAAATGTCAAGACTGGAGATGAGGGAAGAGTCTATCATGAACCCATGTGGAAGAAAATATAAATGTTAAAACTTTTCCCAGACACAGAAGGAAAGCATTGATCATCTGAGCAAATATTCACAGAAGAAATTAGCCATAAAATGTCCAGATTGTAGCAAAATTTACTTATCAGGCTTGTTTGTGGATTGGGTAAAAGTATGATTTGTTGTGAGCAAAATAGGTAATTTGTGAGAGAGAGACAAAATGTTCGAAAATATTATGTTGGTTTTTTTCTACCTTTCAATTAAAACATTCACCCTTATTTTTTTCCAGTTTTAATAACTAATATGTTCCATTTGTCATTGCTATATTGCGCTGACCAATTTGCAATAAATCTCTCCTCAAGGTTTACTTGAGTTTTGTCACACAGAGATTTGAGAAGTTACCCCTTTGGGATTACAGTTCCCAGAATCCTTCACCGGGCATGTGACCTGTGGCCATACCGGCTGGGGGATTCTGGGGATTGTAATCTAAATATGTGGTTGTTCTGGGAGGTGTTTCCTAAATTCCTAAACGGTAGCATACAAACCATTTATGGGATTTCCCTAAGGATATTCTATCGTAATGCTCGGAAAGTTCTCTCTTTCCCATTAGCTGTGGAGGCCTTAAAAAGTAGTGAGTGCTGTAGATCAGAATCCGGTTGATAATTTATTCTTGCCTGTGGCTAATAGTTCAGGTTGCATTCCCGGTCTAAGCGACGTAGGGTTAGGAACGCAACCAGCACCCCGTTAATCTGCATCAGTTTTCCGCTGCAATTTATGCCGTTTCGTTCGACACAGGTGTAAACTGCCCATTAGATTCCGGCCCAAGTTACATTTTTCAAAGAGAAACCCTTTATTTTTCTGTTTGTCTGAAAGTAACTAAAATAGTTACTTTTAAGTTAACTTTAGGAAGAAGCCACTAAATGCTTTAAGCCACAAATCCATCTCCTTGCTTCAGCGCCACTGAGGGAAGATGCTCTTCCTCCATCTTTTGTTGAAGCCATGGAGTAACTTGCAGGGTTTTCTTATATCTACTAGACTGAGTAATTACAGGAGATAACCTAATCCACACAAGCCCATAAAATGGAGGCTCAGCTACACAAGCTCTATTTAGAAACATTGTTTTAAAAGAATATATGATTGTTGTATCATGCTACTGCTTTTTGACCCCTCTTCCACAGTGAGATATTTGAGCTAGAGAACATTTTGAACAAGAGCTACCTCATAATAAGTCTTTTTTTAAAGAGGGGGGAGGAAATTAGGCATAAAAATCAAATCTGATTTCTATCAAAAACTGCTAACCAATTTTTCTTAGAAATCTGATTATGTAAAAAAAAAATTTAATGTAATTACACATACTGCTCTTCTGTGGCAAAATAATTGACATTTGTATGGTTACTTATTTCTGCCTTAATCCTTAAAAAAAAAACAAGACAATGGCTAGTAAGGACGTGTTGATAATGAGTTATTTTATTTATTGTTTTTATTGCCTGCTTATGCCAACTTTCTCCCCCAGGAAGGGAATCGGGGTGGTTAATTAGTTATCCCAAGGTCTAGCTCAGCAGTTAGGAGCCAGAGGTTTGGAGTTCGATTCCCCCCACCGAGCCTGTTTGACAGGGGCTGGACTTGATCCTCAGGGTCCCTTTGTAAGTCTAAGACGATGGCTTCGATTGTGGTAAGGTCTTCTCTATTGTGGAGATCATGCTCCTTGGGCATTGTCTTGTGAGACAACACAGCACTTTCAACATCTTAAGACCCTGGAAGGCTGGGGTTTTTTTTGTTTTTTTGTTTTTGTTTTTTTGAGGAGAGGCACACCTGTGAATAGACTCAAAGATTCTCCTCATCTTCCAGTGGCCAAAATATCAAAACCTCTAGTCTGGCCACCCAAGAAAATTGACTGCCAGGAGGCTGGAACAGTCTCCCCCCCACCCCCCAAAAAAAAGCCTTCAGAAAAGACACAATGTATGAATTTGACAGCCGTAATCCAGAGCGAGTAGACAACACGAAGCCCCTGTCAGCTTTGATCCCCACCAGCAGCCCCACCCATTTTCCATTTTTCCCCCCTAAGTACAATGTTTGGCTCAACCATTCCCCTTTTATGTTTTATGCCCGGAGGAGCAGTTTTTTGCTATATTCTGAAAGCCGTATGAATGGTCCCTCCTTAAAATACAGGACCACTAGACTACTCCCAGGACCTCGAAATATGACTTTGTCTTCTTGGTTTTCAGTCACTACAATTACCTTTAAGTGGGACTATGTCCTTTGTGTTTAACTTAGCGAGGGGTCCTCAGAGCTTCTCTGAACCTCCTTCTTGGTTATGGATGGCCTCGTTTTTTGGGTGCACAATGGTTGGCACTGAGGAAACCAAAATCGTGATTCACATACAGGAGACTGCTCCTAAACATGGAAGTTCCATTCAGCTACCTTGGCTAATACGCCTTGATAGACCTCTTCTCCACCTGCCTCCTTAATAGCCGCCCAGAGTAGGTAGAGTCTACCAGATGGGCAGGATATAAATCAAATAAATAAATAAATACAAGGATATCTGCAAGCGGGATCTGAAGGCCTTAGGAATAGACCTCAACAGATGGGAAACCCTGACATCTGAGCGTTCAGCCTGGAGGCAGGCAGTGCATCACGGCCTTTCCCAATTTGAAGAGACCCTTGTCCAGCAGGCCGAGGCAAAGAGGAAGTCACAAAAGCAGCAAAACCAGGGAGCTGGGCAGGGGACAGAATGGATTTGTCTTCAGTGTGGAAGAGACTGTCACTCTCGAATCGGCCTCTTCAGCCACACTAGACGCTGTTGCAAGTCCTCCATACAGAGCACGACACCACAGTCTTTCGAGACTGAAGGATGCCTAACCTAAAAATAAATAAATAAATGAATGAATGAAATACACACACACACACACACATGCTGTACTTATACACACACATATAAAAACACACAACAATGCCGTACTTTGACTTCCTAGGAGGAGAATGATGAAGATCAATCAGGACAGGGCTCCGCAGCCAGAAACCCCTGAGCTATCCAGCCAACGTCTTTCTCTTCGGGTGCACCTCGTTTAGGGCACTCGCATCCCGCCAAAAAAGGGTCTCTTCCCCCATTAGTTAAAATGACCCTGAGAGGTAGATTGGAAAAGACAATAATACTGGGAAAGGTTGAGGACAGCAGGAAAAGAGGAAGGCTGAATGTGAGATGGACCGACTCCCTAAACGAAGCCACGTCCTCGAGTTTTATCAGAGCCAAGCAGGGCAGTTGAGGACAGGATGTATTGGAGGTGGCTCCTTCATAGGGTCGCCATGAGTCAGAGGAGACTTGATGGCACGTAGTAACACTAACCCTTGTACCACACTGTCACCCAGATGTCTTGGGATTACCGTCCCGCTCCTGGACCCAACAGAATTAAGTGGGAGGCTGCAAGAAAGTACATACAAGCCAAAACATCCAATAAGGTGCACCTACTTTGAAGCAGAGTTGCGTTAAAAAAAATGATAGCCAAACTTTTTGAATATCAGATTTCCCTTAGATGCTACCAGTGGTTCCCAACTTTAGGTCCCCCAGAGGTTGTTGGACTACAACTCCCAGAAGCTTTCACCACTTGCTGTGCTGGCCAGGATTTCTGGGAGTTGTAGTCCAAGAACATCTGGGGTGGGG